TGAAAAGAAGCAGAACATGTACTTCAATGGCTGCTAGAATTGACTATTTAAAATTTTAGGTATGAGGGGATAAAAATTGGAAAGGTGTTTTGGAGAAGTCTGAGGGGTAGGTGCTTGATTGAATAGACATACTGGGTGAAAATTTTCCTTTCTTGACTTTCTGTAACATTTTTAAAAGGTGATAGTGAATGAAGGAATCACATTTGTCAACATATTTACAACTTTGGCATGATTTTGCTGGATAATGGAACATAAGGCATAAAGACGCCTTTTCTTAAGTAAATTGTTTTGAGTATTTCCTGTATTACTGGATAGGATGTAACGTTCCGTTCAACACCATCAGGTGGGATGGGCAAGTCTCATTGCTTTTGTAGAAGAGTGAGTTCCGGATTGTTTTCTTATGATTCAGAGACTATGACCCATTTCCCAGGTCTCAGCCTCTTTCCCTACCCCTCTCTCCCTGGCTCCACCTCTGGGATGATATGGCTCTTCTTTTTCTTCTTCTTCTTCTTTTTCTTCTCTTTATGAGTTCTCCTCATTCTCACCCTAGATACTACGTTCAACTGCTTGTCATAACCCAGCATGGCCTTTTGCCCCTGAGACTCCATGCATGGTACCAACCGTAATCTCTAGGACTTTCCTGTAAATGGATAGTTAAGTCTCAGTGTCTTGCTGGAAGATTTTGAGGAAAGAAAATGTGGCCCCTCTGGGGTCAGGCGTTTACCTCTGGTCCCATAAGCCGAGGCCAGCTTGGAAAGGGTCAGGTGGACCATGGCATGTGTTGATCTCAAAAAGGTGGCTGGGAGTGACTGACGAATGGACTATTAGGACATACGTAGCAATTTATAACTCCTCCTTTCTGCTCTTCTAATCCTACCTGAAATGCTTAATATTTCTTGCATCTATGCCCTTTTTGTTCTCCCCTCCCACTGTTTTGGTCCTCATGTATTCTTGCTTAGATTACTGTGATAGTCTCTGAGTTGGTCTGCTTGTTCCTGATCACTTTCCCCATGCTAATATACACTCTACAAATGCTGCCTTTGGGAAACATAGCATGATCATGCCATTTTCCTAATTCAGAGCCCTCAATGGCTTCTCACTGCTTATGAAATGCTATATGATTTTTTTTGAAAATCAGTTCCCTTCCTACCTCCTCCATCCGTCCACTCCCTGTTCCTCCACTTGGTCTAACTGCTTTAAATGGTTTGCCACTCGCAAGCCACACTTCTCAGCTCCTTTTTTTCTCTGGGGGCTTCTGTTGCATTTTGTATCACGTGACATATACGAGTGGACAGAGTATGAATATCAACTGTAATTGGAAAATTAAAAGGGGGGAAGAAGGTAAAGGAGAATAAGTGGCTCAAATTTCCAGGCATAAAACAAATAAGTCATGGGGATGTAACGTACAGCACAGGGAATATAGTCAATTGTGATAACATGGTACCGTGTCAGATGGTTGCTGGACTTATCATGGTGATCACTTCTTTAGGTATATAAATGTTGAATAACTGTGGTGTACCCCTGAAACTAATATAATATTGTATGTTAGCTATATTTTAATAAAAAACCTTTTTAAAAAGCATGGACAGAGCATAGCTGGGGCTCAACGAATGGTTGCTGAATGGATGATATGTGAAGAAATACGAGTAAACTACACGACTGAGGGCTCTTGTCTTAACATTGGCATTATCATTCTCTTATCTTACCAAGTTTTCCTAAACTGTACTTCCTGAGTCCCCAGGAGTCCACAAAATACTATAGAAATTACAACAGAAAAAAATGTGTTTAGTCTTCTCATTAATGTATAGGCTCAGCAAAATGTTATTTTTCTAGTTTTGCTGGAATGAAATCAATTTAATGTAGCAACACGATCTCATGCTAATTAGATGCCCTAATTGGTATATTTAATTAACAAAACTGTGAAACAATTCAATCGATTAAAATAGTATTTTTTTAAATGGATACACAATCTTTTTAAAACTTAAAACCCGTTAGGATAAAAATAATTGGTATAAAAACTGGGAACTGCCTTAAAAAATCTGGGACTCAGTTTTAACAGATGTAAAACAGAGATTCATTGATCTCCTAGGTACCTTCTAGTTCAGATATTTATATCTGAGGAATAAACTAAAGTTACCTGAGTTCTTATATTTATTTATTCATGGTTGTACCATCACAGGGCCAAGGGTCCTATCTCTTTGTTTCCAGTTCCCTAATAGGGAATCGCCTACAGTAGGGCCTAAACAAATACCCATTGACTAGGTAACTGACCGAGCTCTGAGCACGTTCTGAAAAGGAAGAAAAATAATTATATCTGAGGGTATAGGTGAACTATTTACAGAATGATGTTGACTTAGATCATATTGACTTATACAAAAGAGAATTGAGAAGCCACTTGGGAACATACGCTTGGGGAGGTAAATAGCTGCACTGCTGATGGGAAGGGAACTAGGAACTCAAAGAACCAAGTGTTCTCATGGGAATGGTTATAAAGAACAGACAGTAAGAACAAATAAGTAACAACTTTTAAAAAGGAAAAAAAAACCCACTGACAATTGCTGCCCACTGAATTTAACTACCCAGCCTTGCTGTCCACAAGTCTCTTTCATCAGGGCATGAAAGAAGAAATAAAAAGAACATGACCCATGATAACTAGAGCAAAGACACAAAAGATAAAATTTGTAATGTCATGATGATGATCATCATCAACATTTTATGTCATCTACTATGTATGACACCTTGCAATGCAGTAGGACATAATGAAAGGAGAGAAGATGATAGATTTAGGGGAATTAAAGGAGATTATTAAGTGAAGGACCTTAATCTAGTAGGAGTCAATCAATATTAAGTCCTCTTTTCTCCCATTAGGGTCAAACAAACCTATATTTGAATACAGGCACACCAATTACTACCCATGTGACCCTCAAGAAAGTGCTTAATCTCTCTGAGCTCAGATTTATTATCCGGAAACATGGGAACAGTAATGCTTAGTTCACAGCATCATTGTGAGAACTAAATGAAATATTATATGCAGAAGCGATTTGCTCATTGCTATGCAAATATGAGGTTTCAAGTATTAGCTATTACTATTACTCAGCAGTTAGATAAAATGTATGTGCACACCATGAATAATAAGCAGTGAATAACAGTGGATGAGGAGTGGTAAGGAGAGTCATATGGTAAAAGCTGAGTGAGGGAGATGAGGCAAGACAGGTAACGGGGACCAGATCACAATGGGTCCCATAAAGCATTGTCTACAAAAAACCTTGACGTTGATTTGAGTCAAATTGGGAACCAGTGCAATATTTTGAGCAGGAGGCGGCATAAAATGATGTGTCTAAAGAGGATGACTTTGTCTGCAGCACTTACAATAGACAATAGGGGGAAAGAAGGAGGAGGAAAATCAGGTTATTTTGCAGTAATGCAAATGGAAGATAATGATGGCTTGGACCAGAGTGATGGTGGGGTTGGTGAGGAGTCCCCGGACTCTGATATCATCTGAAGATAGAGCCAAGAGTAATTTCCTGACAAACCGAATATGGGATAGGAGAAAAAAGAGAGAGCACAGATGGCACCTAGTCCTAGATGTTAGCCTAAGCAACTGGAAGGATGAGGTTGCCATCCACTGGGACGGGGAAGCTGCAGGTAGACTAAGTTTGGGGAGGAAAGACCAGGAATTCAGTTTGGGATATGTTGAGTTTGAGAGGCTGGTTAGGTCTCCAAGTGGGCATGTCGAGCGGAGTTCAAAATACTGGTCTGGAATTTGGGACATGGATCTGGGCTAGAGACACGAATATGGGCATTATTCGCATGTAGATGGGTGGTATTTATAGAGATGCAGTGCAGCTGACAACTGTTCTTTTCCCCCAATTGGTTTCACCTTGTTTGGGCTTAGGTCCAAGAAGTGGGGGTTCCCCCTTCCCTCCTCCTCCGTCCATTCTTTGTCTACCTCTCTACCCCATCCCAATGACTCCTTGCTTCTGTATAGGATAGGACCCTCGATCCACATCTCAGGTCCCTTGTGCTTTGCTAGTTTATTCCTCTGCCTCTATTCTGCTTCCCCTGTGCAATAGCTGCCCATATTTTGGGGGGTATTTCGGTTCAAGCCATAAAAGAAAACAGAGAAGCTGATTCAGGAAGTGAATTTGTGACATAAGATTTGGGAGGACTGGTGCACCAACTACTGAGAAATCAGAAACAGAGGACTTTTACACACATGTCCACAGAGTTAGGTGTTCATCAGCACATCTAATTTCAACAAAACCTCCATCGTAAGTGCAAGTTTATTGACTCTGTATGTTCTGGGGTAATTTTTACAGAGGATACAGGAGAATTGTCTTTTGCCTTTAAGTAGTACATGCTTTAGTGGGGCAAGTCATTGATTACTCATGAGAAACCATGATGTATTCAGAAGAAAAGAATGGGACAGTGGGTGGATGGAGGGGCTGCTGAAAAATAAATTACTCCTATTTGACCATCACATTCCAGATTAAGTGTCCAATCATCTGCAATGTCTTTATGAATTTCCCATAAGAATGGTCAATGGATCCATGATGCCTCAGAGAATAACTCTTATTATTTTATTACTTTAAAATAATGTATCTTTTTTGTAAAAAAAAAAATCAGAAAATAGACAAAAAAAAACAAAGAAAATTTCATGACCAGAGATGACCTTGAGACTGTCCTTTGGGTTTTGTTTTCTGTGTACATAGCTATTTTAGAAAAATGAGATCTTACTGTACTTCTATGTAATGCTTTTCTCATGAGACAATAGAGCTGAAGAAGTTTCCATGTCTAAGCATTTGCCTACAACATCATTTGGATACCTGCCTATTATGAATGTAATAGCTTAATTATGATGGTAGGGATTGTGGCTGGTTTTATTTTTTTCCTCATCAGCATCCAGGACAATGATGAGTGACAGGGTGTTCTCATAGTCACAGCATATTAGAGCTCAAAGCTCCCTCAAGGCATCACCTTGTTAATTTTCTGTTTTGCAGATGGCAAAGTTGAGGTTCAAAGTGTTCAATGGATTGACAGATCAGATGGTCCGAAAGCTGCAGAACCAGTATTGAAACCATGTGCCTGGACTCCAAGCCCAGGGTTCTTTCAGCATCGCATTCGGAATCTGAGTCAGCCCAACATCTGTGAAGTAGATGTGTGGTAAAAGAAGAGGGGACACCGTGCAGGAGAGGTTTGGGGAGAAGACAATAGCAGAGGTGTCTTGTGGTTCTTTTGGAACTTTCAGTTTTACTTCAAAACCCGAGACCCCTGAGTTTCATAGAAGGGGTGAAGTTGCAGTGTGTGAGATAAGGGAGGGGACAGCTTGAGGAAAGGAGCTCATGACCTCAGGTTTGCAAAACCCACAATTGTACAATAGCTCAGCTCTAGCCAACACCCTGAGGGGATGCAAAAAAGACCTAGGAGAGTGTGTAGCCACCAGAGTCCCCATTCTAGTTTCACATCGTACCTGAAGGGCTCCCACTGCTTAAGCACTAAGCCCTATCTTGTGATTTCTTAACCCGTCACCGCCCCTCTTCAGGTCTCGTCTCTGCAGACTGAGACTCTATTAACATTTCAATTTTGCTCATGGTCGGGGACGATCTCAAGTTTTGATTTTGAGAACCTAGAATGTTCTTGGCTTCCTGGAATCACTATCCAAGCCTTCTTGCTGTGAAGGAAGAAGAATGGTGCTCTGGAAGCTTCAGTGAACGAAGCGCGATGGTAAATGAAGAGCTAAGAACACTGGGAGTTCTGGCCTGTTGTTCAAATGAGACACCATCCTTCCAGCTCCTCTCCACATGTTCACTGGAGCGATTTACCAAAAATGCATGTGCGACGAGGCTGCCTAACCCTTTCTGTGGCCTCAGGGTACTCTGTGTGGCACGCAAGACCCCCCACAACCTGGCCTTTGGTCTGCCATTTTGTTTTCAGCAGCACTGACCTTCCTGTGGGTCTGTGCACAGAGCCATTCTGTTTTTTCACCCAGTTCCTACTTCCTGGAATGCACTTCCTCTTCTTTCACCATGGTGAATCCCATGTTGCTGAATTTCGTGCCCCCTCTCTCTATGTAAATAACTCTAAAATTCTATCATCTGTGACAGTTTCTGAAATATTCTTGGCCATTTTCAGTCAAATGCTAGAGCTTTATCTTAAATCTACGACTCCCATCTAGGATCAATGTTACTTCCCCCAGTGGTATGTTCCAGATCGCTGGACACTGGCTCCACGATGCCTTATCAGTGAAGCAGGACCATCAGTTCATTAGACATAGAATCTAGAGAGGACCCCACTGCTCATTTTGCCCAGCTGCAAATGATCTGGATGGCATAGACGGTTTTCTCCAGTCCTGCACTTAGGATACTTACTTCAATATTGGCAGCAATAAAATGGTGGGTAAGAAATTGCACATTTGTCAGAAGGAGGCGGCCTGATAGAAGTGTGTAAACATGGTACTCATCTCAAAATTCAATTACCATATGTACACGGTTTGGCTTGTCATTTATGTACTTGTATATTTATATACCCATCATCCTTAATCACCTACAAGAATGAACGAGTGCATTTAAGAACACATGTTTGCAACATAAGCTAATGGTTAATTGAACATTTCTTCTTGGAGGAGGAAGCTGAATGACAACCAGAGAAGACACAGGTTTTTGAAAACAGCAGCGAGGCTTGCTAACACACAGTTTAGTTTTAGCTCACCCTGAAGGAAATTCCTGGTGAGGTGACCTGAACGTTATTCTTTTGAAAGCCTGCCATACTCAGCACAGAGAGAGAGCTCAGCTTACCAGTTTAGCATCAGGAAACTGGGGGCCAACTCCTTGCCTCGCCTTTTTTGGGTGTCTGTTCATAAGAAATTCATGTAACTTCTCCAAGCCTCTGTTTCCTCATAATCTGGGAATAATGCAGCAAGCTTGCTAGTAGATTTGAAAAACACAAGATGCATGAACTTACTTTCAGGTGCTAATTAAATCTCATTTGAATTAATATGTTATTTTCCTACCTCCACCTGCATCTCATAAAGGTCAAGGTCATAGAGTCCAGACACACTCCTGCTCCTACTAGTGCTACTATTACAACATCTACTGCTAACAATAGCGGATATTTATCGAGAGTTTACTATGTCTGCACTGTTTTAGCATTTCACATGAACGCACCATGTATGCCTCGGAAAACCCCTATGAAGTAGTTACCAATATTGTTCCCACTTTATGTACAAGAACTTGGAGACTCAGAGAAGTTAAGTAACTTGCCTGAGATCATACAGCCGGTCATTCATTGAGCGGCTTGGATTTGACTCCAAGCTTGGACTCCAGAATTCAAACATTCACAATCACACCCTATCCCCTAATAATAATAGTAAAATTATCTTATGGTGGGATAGTGCTTTGTTCTTTCATGGAGAGAATCTCACCTTGGCCTTCTAGCAGTCCTGTGAAATAGGGGTTATTATCCTTATCTTACAGGTGTGCAACAGGTAAAAAAGATGAAGGGATTTACCCAAGGTCACCCTGATGCAGAACAGTAAAATCAGATGGTTGTCCCACTTTGGTGAGCACTACTAAGTTCTCCCATCCTGCTTCTGGCTCTACCCTGCTTTTGTTCACACCTCCCCCACTGATGACTCCTTCTACAAGGACCCCAACTGAGTCCTCTTAATTTGTTTTGAGAATTTCCCCCAGTTCTGTCATTCTCTGTACCACTGTCTGTGACTCGTGTGACTAATTTTTTCTACTTGCATTCCATGGTTCTGCAGAGCTTAGAATAAGCTACCATGAACCTCTAGCTCAGAACTCATTGGCATTTAAGGAAGGCACTCTGGGAGGACCATCTGAAATGAACTCAACCTCTGATGTCAAGGTCACCTGCTCCCCAGGTGCTGAGCTCACCACGTATGCATTCTTCATCTGAAGGAAGTACCGGTCACCCTTAAGCAGAGCATCTGCCATGTCACTGCTCTCTAGGGTGCTCTTTTCTATGGTCTGCAGTTGTGAGTGCTCCATAACCTGGCCTGCTGAACCTGTCTAAAAATCCTGCCTGCTGTCTCTCAGTGTTGTCATTTTCCTCTGGGCTGTCATAGCACCCTATGCTTTGGATGTTCCTTTAACTAAAACTGTTCTCTCCCAATTTATGGCTTTGCTAACATAGTCTCAGCCTAGATAGCCTTCCCACAAGAACCTTCCCTGACTCCCTAAACCACTCCTGTGCTCTGCTCTGCTCTCCATCTCATGCAATCTCTTTTTGAAAAAACTCTGCTCCTTCTTAGCATTTTTCACATTGTCTTGAGACTGCCTGTTAAGCTGTCCGTCTGCTGCAATATGTGATGAGCTCTTTGAGGTCAGTGTCTTCCAGTATCCTACAATGCCTGCCCATAGTAGGAGCTCAATGAATAGCTGTTGATTAAATGTTTACTTCTGTCTCTGAAGTCAGCAAATATTTTAAGAGGATCGCTTTACTAATGCCCCTGCCTTCTAGACTGTGAGTTTCCTGAAGGCAGACGTTCTGCTTATTCAGCACTGTATCCTCAGTGCCTGGCTTGGACGAGGCACTCTGTAAATGCATCATGGACAATTTTGAAAAGCAATACAAATAATAGATAGATAGATAGATAGATAGATAGATAGATAGATAGATAGATAGATAAAGCACCCATATTTCCAATCCACTGCTAAAGACAATCGTTGCTAACATTTTGGTACATGGCTTTCCAATCTATAGCAAGCAGCCTCTAGCATGACTCCCCGTGATCCCCCTCACACACACACACACCTCTAGCTATTCACAGTCTTGTGTCATCTCCTCCTCTTGAATGAGGGCTGAATTCAGTGACCCACTTCAAATGAATAGAACAAAGCAGAAGTGATTGACTGCAGCTTCTGAGATTAGGTTATAAAAAGACTGTGGCTTCCATCTTGGCATTCTTTCTCTGAGATCCCTCACCCTGGGAGAGGCTAACTGCCATGCAGTGGGCAGACCTATTGAGAAATCCATGTGGTAACATAACTGAAGACACTGATCAACAGCCAGCAAAGACCTGAGACCTGCCAACAGCCACATGGGTGAGTCTGGAAGCAGCTCCTCCCCAGTTGAGCATGGTGATGGCTACCCCAGTCAACACACTGATTCTGGCTATGTGAGAAAGAGAGAGCAAGTGGCACCAGCTAAGCTGTGTCTGGATTCCCGACCCAGCATCCCTGGGATAATAAATATTGAGCTGTCAGAAAAGTCATGACATATTTTTTCTACGTTTTTCGTTGCAAAAATGCATCATGATTTTTTGGACAACCCAATATTTGTTGTTTTAAGGTGCTAATTTGATACATAGCAATAGGTAAATAATATGCAATCCTATATACAGTTATATAAATATGGTTTATCTGTTTTACTGTTTATCATAGATCAAAATTTAATTTATTGAGTGAAACAAACTGATAAATCATGCTTGTGTGTAAGTCTTCTTTGAAAAAACTTTTTAAAAAATGTGAAATATAGCCACATACAGAAAATACACAAGGCATATATATGCAGCTAAAAAAATCATAACATGCACCCTTGTTCCAATTTTAGTATATTATATTTTTAAATAAATCAGGGCATATGTAAAACTAGTAACTATTTTTTTCTTCAAAGAGAAGATTTTTAAAAAGCTAAATAGATGTACCATTTTAGGATGGTTTAGAGTCTCTGAATCAGTCTGAAATGTTGCCATATACTTTTCTTTAACCACTGAAGGAAGAAATTCTTAGTCAAAGTTAGTCATCAGGAGGAAGTCTAGGAATTGTGCCACAGTGGAGTATATACAATGTGTGGGCCAGAGTGGGGCCTCAGTATGACACTGATAAATGGATGGATGGACTTGGAATTCAAAACATGGATTGCAGCTCCTTCTCAGCCACTTGGAAGTATGTGGTGTCATCACTTAACATGTAGGAGCAGTGATTTTATTATCTTTAAAATGGGAACATACTCATGAAGTTGTGAGGTTTAAAGAAAGTGGCATTGTGTTTATAATGCCCTTGCAGAGCACTTGGCACATAGCAAGCTCTCAATACATCAGTTACAATTGAGCAATAATTCTGATTTCAGGACACCATCAAATAGTGATTTATCACTATATAAAGCTTAAGTAAATATATATTTAACTTAATAACTTTATTTCTTATTAATTGCTAAATGCTCATAATAAAGTAAATTTTACAAATATTTTTAAAGGACAAAGAAGTAAGCAGAAACTCACTCCAAAATTTCACCTGTAAGAAATGACTAACATCAACCTGTGGTGGACATCATTCCAAATGTCCCTTGTGTATAGACAGATAGATTGCGATGGTGGAAGGCTATTTAGGTAGGTAAATAGCTACCTAACTAATTAGAGATCATACTGGACATACTGAATAAAAGAAGAACAATTACTTAATTTCCCTTGAACGTAACCAAAGAAAAATAAACTGAAGTGAAACTAACGGAATTGCTGAAATTTACATCATGTTTTTTTCTCCATTGCCAGTGATAGCATTTCCTCAAATATCTCCCTAAGTGAGATTAAGTAAAAACTTAATGAAACCAAATAAGTTGGAGTCATTTTCCCCCCCTTTTAACTTATATCTTTCCATTTTTCGGGCTGTACTAATTAATCTCCTACTATGAAGATGAAGTGATTCATACTCTTCTTTCACCTCCTGATTTTTGTTACTTTTATCATTTTAAACTTAAAGTGATTGATTATAAGTCTGTTCAGCAATAAAAAAATTTGCTGTTGTGCTGTTATTTACACTTATTTAAATGGATTTAATCCTGATAGCTAGTGTTTTTAACCATAGATTCTCTTCCCTTTAGAGGCACATAGCAAGCCCTCAATACATCAATTACTATTGGTGTGTAACCGTGTTTAATAAATTCTTCTTATTATGGGATTAGTCTTCCAGTGTATTTTCCAGAAGGGCTCATAAAGTTCCTGAATTCTTTTCTGTTTGAGAATGTCTTCAGTTTTAATGTCCTTGAGTTACACTTTTCTTTATTTGGGCTTTGTGGGCATTACTGTGATTTCTTCTGGAAAAATATCGGTGTGGAGAAACCTGAGGCCAGCTCGATCCCCTCTCACTCCCCTTTTTCTGCCCAGATGGTCATTCTCTATAGTTAATGTTGATCAGGTATGTTCAGTGTCTCCACATAAATTGTACTGTTTCTAGTATATTAACTTCTTGTGATTTGCAGCTTTACTTGTTTTTTTAATATCAAAAATAACTGATGAAATTCCATCTCTGAAACGCTCTTCCATTTGTTGGGTGCTTTCCTTAAGGAATGGAAGTGATTGTTATGTGGGTTAACCTTGAAGTCCTTTTTTATCGCCACCTCTAACTGAATTTGTTCAGTTTACCTTTTTCCTTTGCATTCATTGCATTGTTCTAAGGCCTTTTCTTTTCGAGTTTTTTGCCATGCCTAGTCTGTTCTCCGCAGGTTTACATTTATTTATTTGATCTATAAGGGTGTTGCTTTGGCCCTCAATTGTTTCCTTAACCTGATAATCTCCCTTTTCATCCCAGCCTATTGCTTCATCTTCTTGTTTCTGAGTCTTCTATAAATGACTCCACACTGAGTTTTTTATTGTTCTTTTGCAGATTGTATTTCCTTTCCCTTTTGTGTTCTAGAGTGCTTGCATAGCTGAAATGCCAAGCCCCCCCTCCCCGCCCCCCGCCCGCCCTTTTTTCTCATGCATAGCATGGAGAGCTCTGCCCAGAACTTCTCTTTTCTCTGATCCAATGCAGAAAGACATTAGCTTTCCTTTTTCTGGCCCCTCTTTGAGGTGGTCTTGTCTTGTGACTTTGGGTTAAATTGATCAGGCTGGATGTATCTTTTTGAGTGCTCTTGTGAACTCTGAGGCTCCAGGGTGTGGGGTGTGGCTCAGCTGTAGTTCCTGGTTGGCCCCACACAGGTCTTCTTCTAAGATCCCACAAAGTATCCCATAACGGCCCACCCCAGCTATTCGCCCATCTCAGGGCGAAGCAATGTCATGTAAAAGGTTGGTTCTCGGTGGAATTTGCTCTCTCTGCCTAAGTCTTGTGTGCCTCACCAAGTATTCTGTTTTCATTGCAACTGCCATATACTCCTTTAACATCATTTGTCCCGTTGGGTCACTCTCCTGTGCGAAATCCCCCAAAGACTCTCATCTCAGGTACTGCAGGTCACAATCACCCAGGGTTTCCTGGTCCCTCTGTGATGGCCGCTGGCACCGCCTCTCTCTTATCCCTTCACTCACTCTGCTGTAGCCACACTGGCTTTACCGAGCCTCAAATAGGCCAATCCCCCATCTTCCTCAAGACTTTCCATTGGCTCTCGGCTACTCCTGGCTACCTCGTAAATATTGCTTCTGCTCCCACCATGCTGAGTGTCTGAGAACTTGCCACTTTCTCAAGTCCAATCTGCAAAGATAAGCACAGGTCCCCTCTTATAGGAGCCTAATACTTGGGGTTCTGTCAGTCCCAACCTCCCATCCTCACCTGTCACATAGGAGACAAGACATGAGGCCCCTTTTCAAGGAGTCATCTCTCCGTCCCCCCTCTCATGAAATCTTTACATAATTTCAGGGGACAGGAAATAGCCTATTTTTGATCTTTTATGTAGTCTGTATGTTGGAACCAATATTTGAACTTAGAGAAATTAAAAAGCCTTTTCTCTTCTTCTGTTGATATTTCTCTTCTCTGAACCACCTGATACTACTATGCCTAACCACCAGAATAGGAGGAGGTCAGGGAAAGATGAGAAATATCAGGAAATACTGGGGAGATTACTTTGCTTAATGTATAAGAATATCATCTCTGAAGTGAACATCCGATTAGTACCCTGGTTGTAATCTTCTCAACACCCTGCGAAGTCAATACTACGGTCCCAATTTTACAGATGGGAAAATGGAGGCCCAATGAAACCTGAGCAAACCTTGGTGGAGCCTTGCTGATGGGTATGTGAGCAAATTTTATTTAACACTTGAGTAGAAAGCAGGAGAGATGTGTACTTCCACAAAGAGAATCCAAAGGACATGCCCTAATAGACACACCACAGAAGCTCCTACTGGAAGCTTAAAAGATTCCAAGGTTCTTGATGATTTTGTTTTCAGCCCCTGGCTTAGCGACTGACTGAAGAGACCTCATGTGCTGTCACCTTTGCACACACACGTACACACATTGGCCTTGTGGGGTGCGACGGAAGCAGCATGGACATGGGCTGGGAACAACCCCGTTCTCATCTTGGTTCTGCCACTGAAGCTCAGACCCTCGGTTTCCTTAACTAAATGTGTGGACACGTATGCCTAGTTGGTAGAGCTAGGGAGAGACTTTGATGGGAGAGCTGTCGGGGTGAGGAAAGCGTGTTTGTCCCTCTCTGTAGAAGAAGACCAGACACATGGAAATGCTCATAGTCTGCCTTCCAGGAAGGTGTTACTCGTCAGAGTGTGGCTTGTTCAGGGCGAACCCTTCTTGCTCATCCTGCCACCATGTGTAAGCAGAACAGGCTTCTATCTGCCATGTGGGTCATCTCAACTTCTATTTGCTGTCAGCCCCTGGATGGGAGCGGCAGGTCGGGCATCTTTGTCTGGTAGAGGGATGGATGGGTCAGCAACTGACCGTTCTAGAACATGAATGGCATTACTTTAGACCTGAGCCTGAGCTGCACTGGTGACTAGGTTTGGTCACGTAATCCTGCTCTCTGGGGGAGGAGTGATAATGGTGTACTTGCCCTTTGAGTAATAGGCTCTGACTTTGTTTCCTGTTGTTCTTGTATGTTGCAACCTGGGCAGGGATTCCTGGAGAGCAGAAGGGCTAAAAAGTAGGCTAGAGAGCCTGGCAATAATATGCCCCAAAGCTCTTGCCGCATAATAGGAAATATGCGTAGCTAACAGGTATGGAATATTTATCTCTTAAATGAATATTCTTAAATGGATATATTAACGCATTTAACCCTCACAACAATTGTATGAGGTTGGTACTCTTATTATCCCATTTTATAGATGAGAAAGTAAAGCACAAAGAGATCAAATAGCCTGTCGAAGTACATATGGATACTAAGTAGCAAAGCTGGGATGTGAACCTGGGCAGGCCAGAGCCTTCATGGGTAACCACTAAGCCTTCTTAATAGGCACATACCCTAAGCATGTTGGTTTCTTCTTAAACTTGTTGTCCTCTCGGTATGTGGTTTATCTTTTCTTGAGCATGGGATTCAACCCCTATACTGATGGAGAGCATAGAGTTGGAAAGGAGCTGAAGTTTGGAAGGGATGGAAGGTCATGGGGGTGTCTGAGATTTACAGCCGAAGGTCAGAGGGTGTGTGTGGTAGTCTTCCTCCGCAGGCCCTGACTGTGGGGCTCCAGGTTAGCCACCCTGCCCAGGACGAACCATCGGGGCCTCCGAGTGAGAAAGGTGTGCCTGCATTCATTCTGTAGCCTAATGACTGGCTGTGAGAAGTGGGACTTCACAGACCTTGCCTGGGGCACTGAGCAGAGCAGTGGACAGCCTGCTGCTGGGACATCCTGTAGAGAGAGGCTGAGATGCTGAGAGAAAACTAGACTTTCAGTTTGAAAGTTTCTGTGGAGAGGATTTTAAAAAACCCCAAAAAACAAACACAAAAGAAAAAAAAAACAAAGTTTGTCAACTTTTCTCTCTTGCTCTGTGAGCAACTTTTCCACCAGACTATGTAGCAGAGAGGGATAGGCCACCAAGGGCTCTAGTTTTGGGGTATACTATATATATTTTTTCACCCTTTGGGTTGACAGCTGCTTGGAAATTGGACAAGTTCAAAGTAAACTGCTCGCTGACTTCCAGTTCAAAGTGGCAGCTGGCTGGTGTCCCCCAAAGCCGAGCCTTTCAGCTCTTCCTGTGATAAGGGTAGGTGGGACAGAAAGCTATGACTGGTGGTACAGCCTAATGACAGCATCCGGAGCAGTTCACAGTATTGTGGGGTCAATAGATCTGGATGGAGGACAACCTTTCTTGGCCCCAGCATGTGGCACACTGTTGCTTTCCTACCTGAAAAAGTTTTCTTCCTCGGGGGTTATTCTTGCAAGCAGTAGTTTTTTTCCTCCTTTCTCTGGTTCCCTTTCCTTCAGTTTCCCCAGATCCAGGCAGATTCTGGGAATCACAGGAAAGTGCTGGGCAGAAAATGGGGAGAGACTGAAGTGACCACAGGGAGGCATGTGACCCTGTCAGCTCTGCAGGTAGCTGCCAGGGCATGGAGCCTCAGGTTAGTTCTGCATTGTCAGGTGACAGGCTGCTTCCATCCTGCCTTACCTCTGAGAGCTAGAAGCTGGGCTGAGAGCTGAGGGCTGAGGACTAAGGAAGAAGGGAGCATAGTTAATGCATGGCATCCCCCCTGAGAGCCAGCTGTGAAGCAAGAACTGGGCTGGGATCTGTGAACATCAACTGTGGATCAGAGAAGAAAATTCGACCCCCAGGGTGGTGCACAGAGCAAATCACTGTTCCTGGCTTTCAAAATGCTGACAAGTCACCTTTGTCCTTCAGTATTTGCCAATGCATGGAAGGGTATCACTGGTGTGAGTCACGTATTTGAGAAAGTCTCCCGGAATTTAGAAAAAGGAGACAGAGCTGAAAGGGTAAGAGTAACAATAATGGAGGTTTCAGACACATTGGTCAGAAAATGTGGGACCTTGTGATGAAAGTGAACATTCCCA